GGCCCGCCGGGGTGTCGCGGTGCGGCGTGGCCCCTCCTCGTCGCTCCCGTTCGCTGCGCGTCTCCACGCTGTGAGCAGCTCCGTATCGTACCCGTACCCTCGGTTGTGAGCGGCTTCCTCCGCTAGAAAACCACTTCTGCGTCGCGATGTAACGCGCAGATTGGGCTTTTCCCGCTTGTTGGGGAACTGGAAGAAGCAGAGTGCGAGAGTCCTGAACTCTGCGCAGGACAAATGGCAGGATGAGACACCTCGCTAGACACCTTGTAGCTGAGACGGCCTGCTCGCCTGGGGCAGTCGGGTCGTAGGGAAAAGGGGGGAAGGAGAATTTGTTCTGCGTAGACCAATACCAAACGCAGATAACCAGTGCCTTGGAAGTAATACAGGCCGAGCCAGAAGTGGAAGAGGGGATGTGGATGTTGTCTCCTTGCTCACAGCTTTCATGACCAGGTTTGCAACGGCATCTCTCGGCTGTGAACATGGACACTCCTATGGGCGTACACGTACTCTTTGTGTACATGGGGGTACGTGTACTGTACGCTTTGAAGGTGCCCATATGCTTTCAGGTGTGTGGTGGTCTGAAATGCCTGCTCCAAGATAGGTATGTGGCTGAACCCATCAACTCCAAATTGTCCTCAAATACCAGATTTCTTTGCTGGATTGGGGCTGACGTGGGTGGAGGAAGAGCTGTGTGTCCAGAAATGGATAGAGCAAAAGGCCTTGTTCAGCTCTTGTGCGGTTCCTGTACCTGGAGCAGTATCCTGGGTATGGTCATAGCTCAGGTGCTCTTCTGGTCTGCTCAGTTTGGTTGCCCCTTAGTGGGACTAGAAAGAACCGATTGATAATAGAAATGAGCAAGAAACCCCTATGGCTCCACCTTTCACCTAAACGGTTCTTGCCCTTACTCTTCTCAGCCTGCTCTTAACATGCTATACCCCTCCCATTTCATACCTGCCTTCTTCAGAAATGTGTAAGATGCATATCATGTTTAGTGTTCACATATGCTAGCCAGGTCTCTCCCCATTACAGGGAAATGCACAGTACAGCAGGTACCCATCCGTGCTCTATATACAACTGGTCATCCTGTACACAACGGAAACTCTCCACAATGATGGCAGAAATACAGCCTAGCATAGAATAGACTCTAATTTGGAAAATGCAGCTACCACTTTGGCATCCTTAACCTCCTGAGTTGCTTTTGTAGGAACAGAGGTGACACAAGGAAATGAGCTTGTTGGAATATTTTAGTGCATTCACCTACTGAGACTACGCAGCTGCCAGTTGGGGGCTGGTATTTGACTTTTCACTCATCCATGTACATGTGGATGTCCTGTCTGCATTCCTCTAATCACTTCATGAGCTCTTCCATGAACATTCGTTTCTTTGAATGTGAGTGACCATATTCTCAGCTGTAGTCTAGCATCCAGGCCTACACTGGATGGAACAAGATTTCTTATTTGGTATTTGTTTGAGATGCATTGTAATGATAATGCTTACAGGACTGCAAGCAGTTAGCACTGGGCTGTGATTCCGTGATTCTTTCACAAACTGGATTTTTTTTTTTTTTTTTTTGCTTGGTGTCCATATACTTACTGATGTTTTATGTATTCAACCAGAGTTTTTCTGAGCCCATGAAATAAAGCTAAAATTTACATGTATTGTGGCTTCAGTGTATATGGTCTGACTGACAAATATATAGACAGCATATCTAAATTGGGCAACATAGTCTGTAAATTATAAGCTTAGGTCACATGCCATTTGTTGGTTGAGTGTTCCAAAGATCATATTGCAAAGGTCCATCTGCTCACTGAGTACCTTCTTTATAAATGCAGCTTTTAAAATTGGGATGAAAGCTACACTGTGTAGGTTTGACTCCAGGGATTCTGCTGCCCTCGGCAAACTGGCAAACGTCCATCCTTAAAACCGTGTGGTCAACTGTGAAAATATTTACTGAACAGTTTTCTGCCTCAGACAACAGGCTTGTATTGTATTGTATCACACCTACCTCTTTCATTGATAATAAGTAACACTATGGACATCAAGGCTATAGTACCATATCTCTGAGCATATTAATTCACAAATATTAACTAAGCCTTACAAATGATAAGAAATATTTTTAAAAGGTAGACTTGATGTAGAGAGGATTACTGTTGTGACCAAGCACAAACTCTTAGAGTGAAAAGACGTTTCAGCAAATGTTATCCTTGAGCTAAAGTTAAATTACATAAAGCAATGTGACTGTGTAGTCTGATGTGTAGGACACATAGCTGTGTATTACAAGATCAAGGTTCTATATCTAGCTATGCTGTTCATCTCCTACTGACTTTGCTGACTGAGTTATTTCCTCTCCTACTCTTTACTTGCTGTCTTAACTACTTAGGATGTAAGCTTTTGAAGGACTGTATTCTGCATAGGGTACATCTTTCATGTGCTGCAATGCGGGCTCCTCAGCCATAGCCAAGTGATGTCCTTTCCTCGGCTACTTTGAAACCATATGCTTTTCCAAAGTCATCAGCACTGCTCCTCAAATATGATATTAAGCTCTTTAAAATATGGAAAGTGGAGTCCTCCTAAGAATCAGTCTGTTGACTCCTTGTCTTCCTTTTCATTATTTTGTTTTGGTCAACAGAAAGAAGAAACAGAAAGAGGCACACAAGAACCTGCAGGCCTGTACTGCCACGCCTCCTGTGTTATCCACAGAATCTAGGCAAGTTCTAAACACACAGAAAAAAAAGAGAAGAGTCGTAAAGCGGTTGGCAGCAGACTCGAGCTTAAACCTGCAAAGTCAACAGAGCTTCCAACACCTGTATTTACCTGCCTGTTTTATCAGAATAGAGTGTTTAGATCGTTGGGTGGTATAGATTTGATGGGGACCTTGATCCTGATCTTTTTTGTCAGAAGAAAGCACAGTAAATCACAGTAGACAGAACTTACGTTTTTGTACAGCACCAGGTACAGTTGGACAAAGGTCTAAGCTGAGGCCTCAGCTGCTAGCATAGTATCAACACTCAGGAAAACAATCGCAGTGATATGCAGAAATAAGGGGAGGTTTTTAAAAAGCTAGGAAGATAGACATCAAGGACCAAAAAAATCATTGTTTTGACAGGTATGGCACAAATAGATCTATTTTGCATTTAAAACATATTTAAATTCCACTGCTTCTAGGAACTGGCTTTGTTTGGGAATCTGGGAAGATTATGTAAGTTAACGTGAAAGAAATGTGAATCCCACCAGCCTCCCTGACTTGTGCACCTTGACTTCTCTGAACTCAGAAGGGTTTATGCTCCTGACCTCTAGTTTGGCAGGATTTCACCTCGGGTGTATCCTCTCCTTCTTCTTATGTTGGCATAAGCCTCTTTGAAACAAGGTTATATACTTTCAAAGTCAAGGACTGCAAAAGTAGTTCATCTGTTCTTCTCATTTAAGCAGTAATGCTTTCGCACAAGCATGAGCAAATAGGAAGAATGTCTCCACCTGGCAAACATACTTGTACCAAGCAGCCTCACTTTTGCCACAGATGTTTGTCCACTGAACCTAAAAACTGGGCTGAATATATGTTGATAATATCATAGTGTTCACTTTGTGTTCTGAAAACATGGAGAGCACCTTACATTAGGATAAGCGATACGGTTCTCCAGTGTATTTCTGTGAAGTATCAGTTATCCAGCCGTTGCAAAAGAAACAAACCTGCTCTTCAGAAGTATTTTTATGAACTCACATCCAAGTTCTAGCTCTCAGAGAAAATGTGAATCAGAGCACAGATGTATTATGAAGAAAAGCAAATTAAAATTTATTATGCATGAGAAGGAAAAAACCCCAATATCTGATGACTTTTTATTGATTTTTGTGTAAATCGCAGTCTATGGAAAAATAGGTAAAAGCATTACTCGTAATTGATAATAGCCCTATTTGGAGAGACAACACAAACAAATTGACAAAGTCTGAATGCACAACTACAAAGAGAGTACCCGGAAAACATTGCACACGGGGGACATATGTTCACTGCAAGACACTGCCAGCATGGCATGAGAAACAGTGTGTAACGGGAGAGATCGCTGTTCAAGCCAGCTCACTAAAGGCTGCAATCTAGGTAATTCAAGCAGTATCATATAATGATACAATATTAATATCGCAATGTTATTCATTACATTTATAGAAAATATCGCAGGATGAACATCCAGTGAATTAAAACTTCTGTATTAGGAGATGCACTGTCTGAAAGGAACTATGCATATGCATCTACTACCACTGCATATATTCATCTGCACTGTTGAAAATATTATACTGAAAAAGTCAATCTATCTAATCTTTATGCACCTGATATATCTAGCTTTGAATTTATCACATTCAGAGGAATGCTGTTTCCTAACTATATTCATACCTGTGAAATTTACAGCCACTTGGGAAGTTGTTGCCTTATATTAATTAATAATTTCCCTTAATACTAGTTGGGCAGCATGTATAGGTAATTGCATATGGACATATACATAATATTTTATAGCTAATATAAAGCAAATACATATATATATTTTCTCATGTTGGTACATCATATAATGTACAATGTTGTAACAAAAAGTTAAACGTGGCATCAAGTTACAGTAAACATTACTGCAAGATAGATAGGTAACAAAAAAGAAAGAAGAATCTCAAATAATTAACCTCTAATAATTCAAGAACATAGGAGTTAATTAGCTTGTACATAGTTGCCACGGTTAATAGAACTGTAGGATAAAATTAAGGACAAATATGGAATCCATAACAGAACTATATTTTAAACAATGTTTAGAAAAAATACCTTAATATCCATAGAACACAAACAACATTTTGCTAAACATCATTACAATGGTTTAATGCATAGAGGTTTCCATTTTGTAATATGATGTGTGAAGTTCTGCATTATATATTAAGCACTATTTTGTTTTTATGGAACACTAATGAAGAGAAGTGAAGATTATTTTCACATTAGGCAGGGCATCCCTACAGTCAACAAACAATTTATATAACACTACACAAACATTTTCATAGCAGGCTATTCCTCTAAGTATGTATTTATTCTCCTAGGTAACTAAGAAGTCCCACCGAATTTTGTTGCTTATCTTTAGGCAATCACACTGAACTTTTAGCCCAGGTCTTTTTCCTCAAATCTTGACTCCAAAGAGAAGCTCTTATGCAAGTCCTTCTATACAAATCATTGTATTTGTTTAATCATGTGGATAAAGATTCCGTATGTGACTAAGCATTTGCATGATATGACAGACAACGTGTAGTAAAAGCATGAGTGTCATTTTACTTTCAGACTTACAGTGTCTTCTTCTTAGACAGAATCGGTCTTTAAAATAAAGAAAACTACAAAAGATTAAATCGCAAGTTAATTTGTTGTTTTAGGTAGAAATAAATATATGGCCTAAGAACCATATATCATTTTGTAGCACAGATATTTCTCAAAATGTCTATATGTATATTTGATCTAAAAATATTATCTATTTATAGTTTAATATTTATACTTTAATATTTCACCCTATCATGTAACTTATAAAAATCAAAACACATTTTTAGTTTCCTGTACACACAGTTTGAGAAAAGGAACAATACATCACTATTTTTTCCAGAAACCTCTTGCAGTTCAAAATTTAACATTTTAAACGTTTTTGAAGGATTTAATGGTGAAATAGATTTTTTTTTTTTTGCATAGGAAAGAGGGCAAATTCATTTCTCTATATACCAAGTGGCTGCATGATATAGTAAAAATATATGGACTTTGACAGTAATATTCAATTACTACAGTATCTTAGTTCTGCAACATTATCACTATTGCATCAAACAAGAATTAGATAATTGTAGGGAAGATGAATGTTAATTATCTATTCTAGAGGTGCAGAATTACTATCAAATAATAGCAGTGTATTTAATTTTTAAATGTAATCAGGTTATCGACCAGCAATGCTTTCTCCTCTAAATTTATGCAGAATTAAGAAGCTCTGCTCTCAGTTATACCCTCCCATTCTAGTGATTTTAATCCATGCATAGGAGTGGGGCAGAACGTGGCTTGGCATTTACCCATGATAACTCTCCAAGTCTCTGTATGTGCTAATATAAATCATATATGCTGTTTTCTCTAGCATGAAATTAATATGAAAGAACTGAGAAATCTATGCAAACAATGCAAGGGTTTGTGAAGATTAAATCCCTCTCAGTCCGCCCATGAGCAAATATTTCTGCAAATGCCAATGTACATGAGTAATTATAAGCAAGAGAATAGTTGTACTAGTTGAACTACTTATGTTAATAAAGATCTTTTCTATTAATTTTATTTAAAGGATTGGAGCACACATGCCTGCGCTTTATGTGGTCTCCTGAAATAACGAAATAGGAAACACAGGCTAGAAAATTCAGTCAGAAGTAATCCTGCAAACCTTTCAAGAAATACACTGCTTTCTGCACTGGAATGTATTTACACATAGACAGAACAATTTAAAAGTTGTGATTATCACTTGTTCTCCATTTTTAAGTGAAAGTCTCGTTCTTACTAGTTTAGGCTCCTGTCTATCTCCAGCAACGAGAGCTTCTTTTGCTTACTGTCTAGTATGCTTGATTGTGCGCAGTATTGTGCGCACGTAGCACCATATGCATCACTGAAATGGCTGTATATTGGAAACAGGGCAATCAGATGAGCAGCTTGAAATTAACGGATCCGCTTGTGAAGAAAAGAAAGAATGCAACTAATTTTTTATTCATTTGATAAGTTTAGTAAACCTTTTATTTTTTTTCCTTTCTGTCTTTTCCCATCTTCTCCCCATTGAAACTGGAAAAGGAAAATGAAAAAGTAAAATACAAAAAGAAAAGTGGAAAGCTCTGTATCTTCTATTACATTTATAATGGAAATTTTTGAAGTGTCCACAGTTTCAAATTTCTAAAAAGTTCTAAAGTTCTAAAAAGTCTCAATGAAGTTCTAAATCATTGATTTTTGAGAGTCTGAGAGGTTATGTCAGGGGAAGATTCACTGTATACACGCTCTCTTTTTGGAAGCATCTGCCGCTAGACAACTACTGGAGGCAAGTCGCAATGGACCCTAGTCTGACCACTTGTAGCTGTTATTATGGTTTTATTTTCAGAAAATGGTGAAAGAAAATCAATTTTCTCTTTCAAATCTCTTTTTTTTTTTCCTCCTTGCAGCTAAAAAGGGGATAACAAAGTTTACTCACTATGTGAAATGGAAAATTTGTGAATATTAAAAAAACTAAACAATTAAAAAAAATTATTTGTTTACAGACAAAATACAGTTGATATTTTTTCCACAAAATATTTTCACAAACCTCCATTTTCAATTAAAAATGAATTTACTGACCTCTCATTCACATACAAAGTATGTTTAAAGACATTTAAAACCAATGTTTTAATTTCGCATGCAAATATTTTACCATGTTTTTTATTATGTATTTATGCAAATATTTTACCATGTTTTTTATTATGTATTTATGCAAATATTTTATTATGTGTGACTTAGAAAATTTCATCTTTGGATTTGCATGTGCTTGACAAAAAAAAAGTCCAAATGTCTCTTGACTGCAATAGACTCTAAATATAAACAGGCCTGATGTATAAGTTTGGGGAATATGTATACTACAATGAAAATAAAATTGTAGCAGGTATTGTGAGTTTGAAATGAAATTAAGAATAACTAACATGAATTCTTTACCTTTAGGCTGGTGTAACTGAGGGCAGAGTTTGATTCTATTCTTGTTCAGTAGAGCTACTGGTTTCATTGTAAACAGTTGTAATGAGATTTACAGGACTAGTGATGTTCAAGGGTAAACTCATGCTTAAGCGGTCTATATTTCTGACATGTATCATGTGATGACAAATTCTTGCAAACAAATAAACAATAAGTGGAGCTTCAGCTAAATTAAGTTAGAGATCCTAAACAGTGCAAAAATAGGCAAGAAAAACATAATTGCATACAAGTAAAGAAAATCAGGACCAAATGTACATTCTCCTTCACTGGAAGGAAGGTTTCACTGATTTAGCAGGAGTAGCCTGAAAGTATATGAGTTGAGTTTGGCTATTTTGTTTAGAGATAAATACAACCTGATAAATTAGTAGTAATAAGTAATTTTGAATGTTCTTTCGAACCCCACAGGAAAGGGGAATGCCAAGTTTTAGAAGTAAATTTTCATTTTCGGGAGTCATCTATGTAAAGCTCTGAGGTATAAGAATATTGTTTCTCAAAAATTCAGGCATATCCCACAGATACTTGTTGTACAGGTTAAGACTTTTATATAAAAATAGAAGATTGTATTTGCACAAAAAGATACTAAGATTTTAAGACAGACTCTGGGAAATTCATATACAATAACTGAAACTCCAGTGTAGAAACATAAGGAATACGAGTATCGTGATGCTTTCCCGTTGTATCAAGATACTGGAAATTTCACCGTGAGAATGGATTTTTATTGTTGCAGACTTATCAGTATGTTTTTCTTTTATAATATATCCTGGCATTTCCAAATCGTTCTAAAAGCAAAAGTTAGTTGCTTGTACCTAAAAGTCCTTCTACACTTGTATAACACTGTTTTGAATTTTCCTTTGTGACTCATATGCAAATAAAGAGACATCAAAGGTCTAAAAATCTATGTGATACTTTGAAAAAAAAGTCCCTATTAGCATAATACATTTTGGTTACAAGGTGCATAATTAGACCATAATTGAAATTTTCTTACCTCCTCAAATCACAGAATGGTGTAAAACCACACAAACATAAATATACTGTACATGTGCAATACATCATTACAGATTATTTTGTTGTTTCAAAACCTGATTATTTCCTGAATTATTAACTCTTTCAGTCCATATTCTCAAGTCACTAACCAAAAAGTATAGTTTTAATAAAAGAAACACTGCCCAGGAAGTGTGGTATTAATAAACAGCACTCTGGCACACGTGCTCTGAGTCAAAGAAATATCTGGAAAGCATGGTTATAATAAAATATTTTTGTGATAAAACTGTGCAAAAGAGCATTAAAAAATTCTGACTTTGTTATCATCTGCCCTCTATAATTTAAAATAAAAATATTTTTGTAGTTATCTGAATTAGTAGTTTTTCAGTTATAAATTCCTCATAGTTTGATTGAGAGCTTGTACTATATGCCAAGCAAGTCCACAGTGACTTTACTCATACATTAGATAAATTCCTGAAAATACAACTTTAAGACCAAAACAAACACGCACACACACACCTAACCATCTACAACAGTGCTAACAAATACTAGTCAATCATCACATCACAGTTATCCTTTCTGGGGAGAGATGTGAAACAGACCCACTTGCTTCGTTCATAATATGGCTCTTCTCCCATCCTCTTCTAATTCTTCTCAGTTTCCTGCTTATACATGGCAGAAGTAAAATGATCTTACCTAGAATTACAATGGAAGGCAGAACAAGGGCAAGAACAAAACTTGGTGGTGTATAAAATCTGTAGTATTCTTCTTCAAAGGCTCTTTTCCACCCGTAAATCAGTACATGGAAAGTACTTATGAGCAGAGCAACATATCCAAGTGTAGACTTTGAGAAAAGGCAAAACAGGGAAGGAAAAAAGAGATAGTAACACTTGATCCTTAATCAGACAACTCTAATGCACTATTTTAATACGTCTACTAGACTTCACGTTAAAGTCTCTTACCTATACATTACTTTAAATTAGCAATACGTGGTCTTCAGTTCAAATGCTTTGAAAATTAAGGACTGAACTGTACCCTGATTTGCAATAGATCTCTGATAGCATCCATAGGCCTTTGTCAAAGCTGAAACAAAGATACTGTTTGTCCAAATTCTAAGTAACGGAAGTCAACCATAAGGACACATGTAAACAAGCAACAACCCCAGTCAAGTTACTGGAACAACAGTAACAACAGTTGTAATTGCAAATTAACTTCCTTGTTTTTTAACCATGGGGGTAGATTGTTTTGCAAGAAATTGTGCTGACTACGGAACAATGCAACTCTGCAGGAAGAGATGGGGGCTTATCACTCCAGATTTTTATTGCTCCAAGAGGTATAGTTTGCTTCTTCCTCGCAATGGCCTACATTCACTTGTTTGAAGTTAGTATAAATGACTCCTTACATTTCTCCATCAGCTGCTGCCTACTGGTTCATGGGAATAGCTGGGCTACAGGAGCTGTTTTGCCCAGAACCAAGATTTGGGCACAAGGCAATGATGAAGTTTATCATATACAGGTAGGGCTGGATGAAACTTCAAGTAGAAGGCTCCCATGGCACTTTACAGATGACTTCTTTTCACCTAATCTAGAGCACGCGAGAGCAGGCTGTGCTAACAGGGGGCGTTTGCCTCTCCTGCAAATCTGCCCTTCTAAGTGCCCTGTAATAATGCTGCCCTACAGTCATAAGTTTATATACATTGGCCTTTACTTTCCGCAACCATGGTAAAAATTACTATCATGCTCTGATTTCTGCTGTTGATCAAACGAAGACAAACACTTTTCCATCAAAACTGAAGTAATGTCTAGCTTAGTTTAGGAAACGTTTGTAGAAAACCATCAAAACATGGGATGAAAATTATGAAAGGTAACTGGCTGCCAAGATTTGCTTTAATTCCTGTAAAAACAGAGGCGCAAAGACATACCCTCTTTCTGTCTTCATTAACAAAAATGTAGTGTAAGGAGCTATAATAATTAGTGCAAGAATTAATTCTTCCTGCTTCAAGATTAGCCAGTTTTCAGGGATTGGAGAATGTTTGAGCTAAAACCATTTGCAAGGATTTACATGTATGCATGTCATGGTACAAAAAGGGAACATTTCTTTTTTTTTTTTTAGTTTCTGCAGACTGGTACCTGGTTTTTAAAATTGCCAATATTTATGCATTATTTTTGCCATCGGTGTCAAAGCCACGTTGGTATGTTTTTAGATATGCTGTAACATTTTGTTAAAAACAATTTGCTTCCAAAAATATTCCGTAAGAAACTAAACAATCTAGGCCAATTATTTCTGGGTATAAACAGGATATGCAATACCCGAATGTAAATTCTAGTAAGAAATTCAGAAGGCAAACACTACTATCAAACTTAATGTTCCAATATGTTATTTCAGATTTTTGCTAGTATGACCGTCCTGAAGTTATTACTGTCATATCATTGCCACCAGGGAAAAGAGCATGAGTGAATCATATCACTCATTTCTTTATCAGACTTACAGATAAGAACTATAACAAACCTTGGAAAAAGAAAAAGGAAGGAAACCCTATACAGACTCTTCCCAGCCTTTTCTAAAATCTTATTTATGCTTATTTAAGCTCCACCTGAAAACTACCATTTTGATATGATATCTATGTATGTCTTTGAGTCTAACGGTCAAAATGGAACTTCAGAAGTATATATAAACCGTTGGGAATAATGGTGTGGGATAGGCAAAAAAGGTGACGCACCTCTATTCAGTTCCACATTTTAACTGTGGAAAGTTGCTGTATGCTTCTTTCAAGTGCTGGTAGGTCACGTGCTAGTATATGCACCAGCCCATTTCAACCACTCATATCTTAAAATCTCACAACAAAGACACTCCTAGAGGAGCTGCTGACAGTATTTTCTTCTAATTGGCTCTTAATTGCCTCTGTCACCTTATTTCTGTGCTGTACTTTCCACAATAAAAACACTGCTTAGCTAGAAAGAGGATATTCTCCAGGTAACTTCGCATTCTGCACTCTAGTTCAGTTGGGCCAGATCTGCACTAGAAAGTTCCATTAAGAGCACAGATCCCAGCTGACAGCTTCTGACAAGGACTTTCCAGAAGTATATGCAAAACTGGCTGCCTTTGCTAGTTCAGCAAAAACTCACTAAGTAAGAGGCTGTGTCAGTACAAAAGTAGGGCACTAACAGTGCACAGCATACCTAAACTGCTCTTACAGATCTACTAAACCTTGAGGTTGGATTCACTTCTCTGCTCGGTTGTAGAATCTCTCATAACACACTGACTTTTTTTTTTTTTTTTTTTTTTTTTTAAAAGAAAGACACAACAGTGCCTTGTTTTGATTTTTAGTCTCACTACCATGTCACTGGCAGCAATGTGGAGGCTGAGCTGATTGACAGACTTTTTTGTTATAAAGACTTGGCACTTCATTTTTCTGTGTCGGCAGATGTTCAATGAACATGGCAATGATGGCAATAGCTGTGCAGCAGTGAAACGAGGAAACTCTGAAGAACTAATTGAGTACAGTAGAAACTCATCAGCTAGTATAGGAAAAGGCACTCTTGGGGAGCTGAACAGTAAAAATAAAATCATTTGGTAACACTGGAGCGTACTACAAATCTTGGCCAAGCAGTAGGTGCAGGAAGTCACATTCTAGAGTTGTCCATGCCTATAGATGTTAACATGAAATATATTTTGATTATAGAGAAACAGAAGATGTTTGTGCTGTGGAAGCTATTAATTGCTAGAAAGTTGTCAGCTTAATACTGGAACAGTGAGGGTGACAGCAGCTACCACTCAGATATGCAAGGTCATTTTCTCCTGTACAAGTTCATGCCCAGACAATGTGGAGGAAGGAATACAGGGATTAAAACCAATGGAGTTCCTAAACTGTAGTGGTGTTTTTTTTTTTTTTTAAAAAGGTGGGATATACATATTGCAATTTTATCATCCTTTCCTTGCTTCTTAAGAACTCGGTAGAAAGGAATGGATATGGCTATGAAAGCTGGAAGATCATTTACATTGATGGTACCAAAAGGAGGCCATGAGGAGCACAGAACGCTCACATCTTTAAGAGCGGAGGACTTTCAAAAGCAGCAAGAAGGAATACTTTTCCTTGACTGGTAAACTCAAATTGGTGATTGAGTGTAGCAGTATCAGCTGCAACCCTCTGCCTAGGCTCTAAAATGGCTGCTGGGAAGAGGGGAGGAACATCTTTGGTTGCTTTGTTTCCTAATCTTCCATAACACTGTTTCCTGGAAACTGAGTAATAGGTTAGCGCATTTCCTATGGACCTCCCAACTCTTTTGGATCTTCTCTCAGTCTTCCATGTTTTGTTTCTTTTCCTTCCTGATCAAAGTCAGTTTTTCCAGCCAATGTTGGAGATTCCCAGCCAAGGCCACTGAGAAACTGGACAAACTGGCATTGTTTGAAGGAAGGGGAAAAAAAAAGTGGTTGCAGTCGGTAAGGAAGAAAACTCCTTAAAATGTTACCAGAAGATGCATATATATACATAGAGAGAGAGAGAGAGAGAGAGAGAAAGAGAGAGAGAGAGATAGGTAGGTACACTGTGAGACAAATTTTGCATCAGGAATTCTTACCTTCACAATGGCTGAGTTGTTCCAAATCATGCATATGTACAAAAGGCATTTTCCAAAGCCTACATTTATGTGACATAAGCTCCAGATTCCCCCAGTAACAGGATATTTCTAAACATACAAACAGGCTGCAGCAATTCTGGCTGGAATCTTACTCAAATTTGCCAAATACCCAAGCCTCATGCTATCACCTTCTTTACTGTGGGGGGAAAGTATTCTGTCCTGGTACAAAAAACAAGGCAGCGCAGCCCTTCCTAGATGTGTGAGGGCAAGGCTTTAATAATACTGGCTCCAAAGATTTTAAGAGCGTGCTAACAGACAAAAGAAATAGCTACAAAAAGATCAGCTTCCTACTATGCAAATAGCAGTGTCATCCTTGCTGGTTTTTCTAATAAACAAAGTTAAGCTTTGAAAGCCGCTCTGCATTGGACACTGTCAGCGAGTGGTGTGGTTTGGATTGGAACTCTTAGATTGGAAAACCAAAGCAGCAGTTGTTTATGTTTACATTATATATTTACAGTTTAACTAATAGCTCCCCAAAGACTGAAAGACCAGGTGCAAGACTGCACTGAACATTTTCCGTTTTCCATGTATTTTATGTGAACAGTAAAAGACTGTTTTCAGTAAATGTCTTTTTTGTTTGTGATGTGCTGGTTTAGGCTAGTAGAAATTCTGCTTGCTCTGAGAAAATACAAATTCTCTCATTTCTTCCTCATGTTTATCTTCGTTCCTTATCCAACTATATTTAGAAGATAAAAAGAAGAGTACTGAAGTGTAGTTTAATAAAATTGATTAATTATTTTACCAGCCTTAGCTTTCTCCCTGCTGTTTTTCTCAGTGAGCTCCAGCTCTGAGTCATGTTAAGATGCCTGCAGAGCTTTGCGTGATGTTTCCATGCCTCTAGGATCTCCTACTGAGCAAACTCTTCATCACTGTCTGGTTCTGTGACTCCTCCCACTGGCTGTTATAAGCATTTTTCTACGAATCATGAGGAAGTAATCAGATATTTGTTTGGTGCAGCAGTCAGCTCTGTACAGCAGCAACTTTTAAGCTCTCTGCTGGTCTCGTAGCATCTGGTAGAGCTGACCCAGTTCCTTCCTTTTGCCTCACTGCTTAACCTTCTTATATCTGTTTCTTCATATTCATACTCCCCTGGGATGAATTGGGCCTGCACTGCTTCTCCTCTCAAAGCCTTGTTCCTTTGATCAAGCTGGCTGAAATTTTTGAAGCTGCTGCCATCCATGTTGCCAAAACCTAGGCTATTTAAGAAGCAGGCATCTCCAAAATGATTGGAGATATCAAAGTCAATATGGTGATCTCTAGACAACAACATTCACAACTAGGTACAGGATACAGGTCCTATGCTGTGGGATTCTTGCTAGAGATCTGTTCAAACCAGTGTAGGCTTCACTCAGGTCTTGTACTACTGGACCAAGTCTTGAAAGCAGTCTGTTTATGTTAACAATTACTTTGTTCAGCCTAAAACTCAGACTTTGTCAGTAGGACTCAAGATTAGGTATGTTTTAGTGGTAAAACTCTTCAGAGTAGGCCAGATCCTTATTATGATCAAAGTGTATTTACTGAAATGAGCAAGCAATACTATGCTGTGCTCTAAGTGGAGAGCGTTGAGGTGAGAAATTGGCCAAGTCTGCTGTGATTATACTGATCTGTCATCTCTAAGATCCAACTATTTTGGCAAATCCTCTCAGATTCAGACCAAAGCTGGAGATGGCTTTCCCTGGCTAAAAAGCAATACTGACATGACTGGTTATTGTTCCACTCCTTGTCCCCCTCACTTAGAAGACTGAGACAATTAAGTTCAATTCACTTCATCGTATTACATTTCAGTAGGTAAAGAAAAATATCAAAACCTATATCATGATATATTTGATCTGTTCTACTTGCACATCAGGTATAATGAAGCTTGTAGTGAAATGCAGACTCCTTTCACTTTAGTGAGGGAAATTGTAAAATACCTATACCAGTTCTCTCTAGTACATGACGCAGTTTCAACCATGACATACCTCTGGAGAGAATAATTTGTTCCCAATTAAATTCCTCAAAATGCTGAGAGATGATTCCTTAAAGTTCAAAATTATTTACAACTGAAACTATGCTGATTTTAATTACAGTGGAAATAACTGCAGTAAATAAGGCATAGTCAAAATCTGTGCAATTACATGATCATCTGTCTTCAAAGGCATTTTGGACTAAATAACACAAGGTCCAAATGTGGAAATTTAAACAAGGAAAAATAAGATATAAATGGAGTGTTTGTGTATGAAATTCATGGCTGGAAGAAGGCATCACCTCACTTTTGGGTGAATATATATTTTTTCCATTTGCACTAAGATTTTAGGTCACACAGCAGCAGTCCTATAGTCACCCCCACAGAGAGCTCTGACTGGCAAGGACATTTTAACAGTAGAAAATGTCTATTTCCTCCCTCTGAAGGCTTAAAGCAGTGAGTGAGAATAACTAGTTCAGTCAGGGGAAGACTGATGTGAAAAATTTTTCGGCAAACCGTTTTGGTAGGTATACCTGGAGCCTTCCACCAACAAACTCTAGCAGAAGGTAAAACATGACTTCACAGACAGAACACCTCTGGCAGCTGTAGCCAAACCAGTGTTCTCCATCACTCCCTTTCAAAGGCTGTAAACTATGGAACTCAGTTCAAACCCTGAAGAGTGAAGCAAATGCCTGGGTTTTGAAGGTAGGTATTAGTCAACAGTGAAAGGACTAGAAACTACGCAATTTCCTTACGGTGGATATGTCCTAAAGCCCTTACTCAGATAAGACTGAATTAAGACTAGAACACTGAGCCCAAGATCCCTACCAAAAAAAAAAAAAACCCCAAATCCCACCCAGACACCCTCATATATACTTAGGGATTTTATCACAAGTCTGAATCCTAATGACATTTCATACCAATGACTGCTGCTTAAAAATAATGGCAATATTGTTTGTAAGCAAATATTAAGTTATTTATTAAAGCCTTCATCTCCTATATTTCTCAGTAACTTATGTTGGTTAGGTCTGCCTGTAGTAGATATTTATCTGTGAAACGGCAGCAAGAAGAATGCCAGGACTAGAAGAACGCCTCTGCTTTTAAAAAAGCAAAGCTATGCTGCCTTTGGTAAGTTAGTCCAAGTTCATCTAATTTGAATTTAACAAGGAATTCTAACAATGGAAAAGGAATATTCATGCTCATTTGGTCTTAGCTGTGTTAGTTCTTTAAGACCAACAGAAGCAAAAAGAGATAATTCCTGTTCTATCACTCATGAAATGCTTAATATGCACTATGCTGCCTTTGGTAAGTTAGTCCAAGTTCATCTAATTTGATTTTAACAAGGAATTCTAACCAACACGTTCTTATCATATTGCAAAGTGCTTTTCATAATAATTACTAAAATGAATTCTTATTAGCAACAAAAGCCTCTTATTTAAATAAAAGTAACACACCTGAATAAAACTGAACTCCCTCCAGTTTAAGGCACTGTTTACTGAAGGGATTGAAGTTACTGCCAGCAAAGAAAGCAGTCCAAGACTCATTATTCCAAAGGAGATATACATTTCAATTCGCCACACTTCTTCCTCATTCCAAGAATTTTCAACATTTGCATGAACCTGATGAACAAGCAGAAAAGAAGCCCTTCATTCTCCAGAATATTAAAAATATCAAGAACTTATTTGGCTAAGTAAAAGCTTACAGTTGTAGGACAAATATAAAATGGGGTCAAATATTTCAGAGATTTCTTCATGTCTTGGAGAAAAATAACCATTTCCCTGCAGCTGGTATTAGCTCTTGCTAGATTAAAAATGGTAAACAGGGACACTTAGATGAGTAGGTAGAAGAAAATGTAAGCATTATATACTAGTTATATCAATGATCTTACAAAAACCTAAATCTGTATGTTCCTATATACCGTAGAAAAGTAGCTGTGTTTTTCAGACCTCAGCAACTTATACTGTACAACATAAACTGGGTAAATCTGCAATTTGTTTTTAGTTTGTTACATTCAGAAATAGCTTTTCATCATTTCCTGTTATTGCTTCAAGTGCCTGTGCTAAGTCCAAGTTATTTTGTCTCTTTCGTTGTTGACATCAGATGTTTCTAAGCCTGTTCTGCCTAGAGAGCTTTGTGAGAGAAGAAACCGGCTCAGGTCCTTAACAGTTAAAATGCTTGGACATTCAACTATTTTTCCATTTTCAGGTGGACTATGATAGCTCTTCAAAGTGGTCCACTACAGGTATTAGCAAGTCAGATTTCTATAACATTATTAAAAACATAATTTCTTAATAAAAATATCAGCAGGTCCTCTGCTAATACTAAATGCACACAATTACAGTTCCTTGCTGCCTTTTATAGTTTTGAACTTAAAGGCAGAGAGCAACATTTCATGCTAGTCCTTCTTTTAGGATTTGTGCACCCAATTCCCTTTAATTTGTTCTATTATTAAGATTTGACTTCCTTAGTTTGCTTTGCTTTCTGTTCCATCTCTCTTTCCTGCAAATTTTTTTTATGCTGAGTGCATTAAAATGCTCCTATTAAGGCAATGCTCCTTTTCTCTCTCTTTAAAGATGACACTAAGTTATCCCACTCACAGAGAGGGGCAGCAGACCCTTCTCTACAGGGGGACAGTTTTGCTAGCGATAGTTTCAGCGTTATGCAAGACCAACTGCTCCTGGAAACTATGAGTCAATGTCTGTTGCCGGTAATAGATTATGTTCACAGAATTTCTAATGAATAAAATATTTTTACCACTAGTCCAAAAAGGTATGAAGTAACAGAATTTTCATTTCTTAAGCATAGTTGTATCTGTGCACATTATCTACCCTTATCACTTGTTCACACTTGCTCTTCACACTTGTTTATGATACAACAGTATGATATCACAGGACATAATACGTTGATGATATACATACATCCCCCATATCTTAAGAATATATAGAAAAGAGAACACCTCAGAAAGTTAAATGTTTCTTCTGACATTGCTCTTTCCTCTATCCTATGTTCTATTTCTATTAGGAATTTAAGTAGAGCACCTCCTTGATTTCCCTTACCAGAGAAACTTGACTGCAGCTTGCTCCAGATGAAGCAAGCACAATGCACAGATGTTTCTTTTACTCTTCCTTACTACTAAGCACTAGCTATGCATAAAATAATCCTAAACATTTTCCACTGAGAAACATAGATGTTGTCTTCAGGAGTTAGACGAATACAGCCAATGGCTTTTGTTAACTAAGCAAGTACAGACCAGCTTACCTGTTGATATGCCATGTTGAGGAACAAGTATCGCTCTGATCTCCTCATAGGTAAGCAGAGGCTGTATGCCACATGCACTGTGGCAAAGAAAAAGCTCAGCAGTCCGAGCTGCTTTCGACATTGCAGCCAGCTCTCCAACCAAGGTGGAAATCGCCTATACTTAGTACCGTAGTAAAGCTGATAAGCAGCTGCAATAAGTCCTGATAAATATACTAGAGAGAGTAAAGTGATAGCAACAATTGGTAGAGTCTTGTTCACAATCTCAATGGGGATCTTGTAAAAGTCACTCTGCTGATTTCTCACATATGGATGTATTACATCTCTGATAAAGGAGTAGATGAAGAAAAATGTTGCCAGGCTGATGGCCATCACTACCGGTCCCTTCCACAGTGTGAACAGTCGTAGCGGTAAGTTTTCAATCTCCCTTGAAGATGACAACGCCCCCAAATCAATAGGAATAAAATTGAGCTGCCGGGCAAGCTCAATAACTTGATGGCGAGCTGGAACATTGTTACTGCATATATAGACCTGTTGGGAAAGTCAAGCGACTTGTTTGTAGTCAGAGAAATAGACTTAAAGACAAAAAAAAAAAACTTCAGAGGACCAAACCACGGCACTTACAGCCAAAACTATACTTTGTTATGATAGACAACCACGATGAAAAATGGAAACAAAAAAACCAATCCATGAAGTACAGGAGTTTCTCAAAAAGACAGGAATCTTGCCTGATGACCCTAAAACAGCTATAGCATCAACAGAACACAAAGCAGAGAGCTGTGTAACCTCTTTGTATAATAATCTTAGCTTCATTTCACAATCCAGATTTCCACAAAAATGGAATCTGCTTAACAGAAAAGACAAAAGTGAAACCAAACCAGCAGACAAACAAGAACTTCTAAAGATAAGCTCGTTACAAAGTGAAAGAAACGTGCTGCTACAAAGTACTTTCAGCTCCCTTGAAAATCTGCAATGGAGTGGTTTGCCCATCACTAGTTTCTGATCATCTTCATTAGAGCATATATGGTCAGCTTTCACTGAAGTCAATTACTTGTGTAGTAATTAGTGCAGTGCTATACTGAAAGGGGTTAAAAATAGTGCAGTGGGGTTATTTTTACAATTATGCTAATTCCATATCAAACATGTTCCATTTAAAATCTGCCTGGCATGTCAGAAAACTCAATTTAGTCTCCAGGAGTCATGTTACATCTTCTCTTGCACACTCCAAAGGTGTGAAGGACTAGGTTCCTGCACAGGCTTAGATCCTTTGCGCCACTCCAGCAAAGCATGAAAAACATAAAGCTGCTTTTTCTACATGCAGGGTGGATTTTGAGGATATACTGGGAAGGCATTTGAACATCACGTTCTCAAGCAGTCCTGGAGCAGATGAATGAACGATCCCTTAAACATATGTGCTTCCCTCTGTTTCTTCATGTTTATTATCTCGGGGCATTATAAAATATATAGCGTCTTTCATTCTTTGCTGCTACTTGCATTGAATGCAAGCATTTTTACCTCCCAAGACCTAGCATTAGTATCTCAGATTTCTGTGCATCTCTTTCAATGGTTTCAATCACGTCAATCAACACCTAAACTAAAATATATTGGAAAGACTGCCTCCATCCTTGTTTAGAGCTTAGGAATAAAAATAAAGGTATTTCCTACAGAAGACGTGAAGACTACCCATCTCCTCTAACTATAATCATCTGAAGGTCAGATGTCTAGTCTAAGCTAGTGCTTCTACATTTCCCCTACAGCCTTTAAAGACAGGCATCCCAGAGGGCAATTTGGGCCACTTACTTACTCTACATGTTTTACCATACGTGAATCGGACTCTGAAAGTTTTATTGACTACTAAAGCTTAGACCAAAGATCCAACATTTTAGATAGATCAAGGCAGGCAAGGTGAATTCCACAAGTTCTGGCTGCTTACACCACTCTATTCCTGTCTTTTCATCTTACAAAGAAATCAAATGAATAAAAATACAATATTTACCTGTCTGCTGGCATCCTTTGGTCCTAACTGCAATGACCAAGCTGAAACAACATTGAATCCTTTGACGATCAGGGAATCTGGGAAAAGTGATGCCAAGTACTCTGCATTGGAATCTGGATACTGGTCTACTCTTGCATTGTTGCTGACATCAACCAGAATTTTACCAGCAAGTAAATGCTTGAGGTCCCACAAAGAAGCATAATGTTCTCTGTGTATGGCTACAAAAATGATGTTTGTTTTTGCTACTGCATCTTCATGATGAGTGACATCAACCACATGAGGAAAGAACTCGGCAGCAAGTTTAGGGTTTCTGCTTCCCACAACCACGTGGTACCCACATCTGATGAGCCTAATGGTCAATGACTTGGCAAAGTCTCCACTTCCAATGATGCCTATTGTGATCTTACTGGCATCCTTGATGCCATTGGCAACGTTTGGTAAAAAAGTTTCATTGTGGTTCTTAGGACTTCCCATCATAGAGATTGATTCCATACTTCCAGCGCACCAAACCTATAATGATTTCTTCTGGGGAAAAAAAACAGAAAGCAACAGAGGGAAAAATACAGCACAATACATTTTACAAGACATCAGAACTCACTAACACCTCTTGGAGCAAAATCAGCAGTCCTAATTCCTATAGCGTACAATTTTCACCTTTAGAAACTATGCACTAGCCAATTTTGTCTTGTAATGTGTTGCTAATACAAACAAACCCCCCAAATATCTCAAGCACTTCAGTAATACAGTTGCATAAGTAAATAAGAATGGAGCGAAAAATTAAAAGAGAAATTAAGACGATATCCAGGGCGGTCAACGTATTTTCAAAGACATCTCAACCAAAATCAGCAAGTCAGTGAGGCAGAGAGATACATGCTTGCTGTTCCTGATGGAAAAAAAAGCAGCACACTGCAGAAGAATTTAGTGTCTCTGAAGATTCTGTGGGGACACAGCAAAAAAGCCAGTGATTAATAAACAAAGAGGAAGAGAAGGGGAGCACTGGAGGGCAAGAACTTAAGATTTTGTCTTCACATACACTATGATCTGTTAAATAAGAGGCAACTCTGTTGATTTCCATTCTGAACAATAAATTTATTATATGCAGGCACCAAACTCCATCAGATAAATATCTGATTTAGAGGGATCTTGGTGTGAAAAAATCTTGATCTTAGCTGTACTGTAACTCACTTATCCTGTCTATAAAATTGAGATGATGATTCTTCTATAGTTTTAAAAGAGGATTGTGATGAGAGCTATATGTAAAAATCTTGCACATATCCCGCACATATTATGTGTGATTATTTTTGTTATGTCTGTTGATTTGCCATGATGAATCTCAACCGTTTTCAGGACTATACTACCTGAACTTTCTCCAGGGAACATAATAAACCTTATGTGAAACACAAAAGGGTAGAATTTGGAAAGCCCAATAATTGTGTTTCCCTTTTCCATTAACAGAACATATATTGTTAAATATTCATATTAATGTAATCCCTCTGTGCTCCTGCTGCAGAATAAGCATATTATGCCAGGCATTGTATGAAGTATGAGGTGTTTACCTCAAAAAGCTTACACCATAAATATAACCTGTAAATGTTGGAAACACTTCTAATCAGACAAGCTTCCCAAGTGTTTTTCTAACTAAGAGCAGACTCTACCTAGCTCTGTTCCCAGCTAAGTTCAGTTAAGATTTCTACCTCACAGATGTGAAAGGGTATACAAGCAGGCTTATAAGCTTTGCTTGAATTCTTAGATCTTTGTATGACAGCATAACACATAAGTTGCTTAGAATAAGCTCAATAAGATGCATTGCTCTTCTATCCACATTCAGGTAAAGGAGCTAACAAAGTAAAACTACATTCATAAGGCAGGAGGAAAGTAGGAAAAGCTTTTCTTGTAATATCAAGTATGGCACTCTGATCTGTTGACTAGAATTCTTAATAATTTCTCTCCTTTCCTTCTACTTCTCAACGTAATAATGAAAGCGTAATTGTAAGTAAGTAATCATTTATAGCTTCTCCGAATAACAATTTTTCCATCTTTTTCCAATCCCTATCTTCAGTTATGCCAGAATATTTGATTGGAAGATAGAGTTGTGCTCCTGAAGCTAATGGTCAATGGAATAATGAGAATAAACACATCTGGAAAACTAGGTAACTGCAGAAAATATTAGAGGATAGATATAACTGTCATATAGATAGAGAGTTCACGGTAGCTGGGTTACATTACAAGCTCATGCAAGTTATTTCTGTGGTATCCTATTACTGAGATATGGAAGTATTTCGTTTGTTTCCAGAGTTCTCCACTCCATGAGTTAAACACGCTACTTAAGGTGTATGCAACAAATGAAGGTCTGTAACAGACATGATATCAGGATTAGAAGCTTCAGAGACTGCCCTACAAGATGCTTTCAAAATTACTGTTTGAAACACTGCAGGAAAATCAAAAGAGGTTGACAGATTTCTTTAAGGCAACGTTCCCAAGCACAGAGCATCAAGAATGCCACACAAACACTACTGTGTCACCAAATAATAATATACACTGAACACTTCCAAGACTGCTATGTTCCTTAAATTGTTTTCTTGGGTGCCACTGTAGCTGATGTTGGAAGTCTGGAAGAGAATACTTTTTAACTCTCCCAGGCAATATTCAAATCATTTCTACTCAGGAAGGTTTTAAAGACATAATCAGGTAAGCAGTTAGACAGATCTTTATTTTTTTTAATAGCCTTTCTGATTATCCCAAAAGAATGATTGCTTATCTTATACATTACTAAATTGTTTACATTGATTAGTTTCTCACTGGGGATCAACAAAGACATAATCTCCCTAAACACTGAACAGAAACTAAATACTGGGATACTTGTTTTGGCTGCATGATTTTTTGTTTCTTTAGTGTCCTGTTTTTGGGCATGTCAGTGAACTTTACTGGGAGAGTGGCTGGCTGCCATATGTAGTGGTCTCGTGATATCATCTTGTATGGCAAATCCTAAATTCCTGTTCTGCAAGATATCTGATAACTGAGTGGACACTGTCAGCTAACACTTCTGCTGTTTTGTTGACATTAACAAAAATCTGACTGTAAGGGGGAAACTAACAGAAGAATGGGAAAATGTTGGTTACAAAAAAACGTTTTTAAATGAGTGGAAAATACCAAACTGTCAGCACTGCTCCTAGCTCTTCCCTTCTGCATATGTATGGAGGGCCCTGCCTGGGGCCCTTGCTGTAAGAGGAGCTCTGCTAAGGTCTTGGTCCGGACAAGCCGGGCCTGTACATAGCAAAGTGAGACAATGAGAGCTAATTGCTGACACAAATACTCAGAAAGCAGGCCCATGGGCTGAAAGAGGAGATGGTTTGGAAGGCTTTTTCCCCATCCATGTCTGCTTCCTGGTAAGTTCAAGTACTCTTATACAGTTCTGAGAGGAAAACAGACTATATTGGCCAGGAAGGAAGGCATACAAAACCATCTATCTGACATACTCACCCGTCAGCCTGGGAAGTGGACTGCCCGTACGGATCCAACGGCAAAGATGACAGAAGATAAAGGAGGTCTGACCCTGGAAATATCAGGATTTACTACAGAGGCAAGGGTAAAGGTTCAGGGACATGGGTCACAAATATACTCAACAGTATTTTCTGTTGAGGGAAAAGACCAGGCAGGGAAGACAAATCCTGGAGGCAAACAGATAGGAAGGCATTCTATGCAAAGCTAATGGAAAGAGAGAGGTTTCATGTAATACTGAAAGGAAAGCGTTTTAGGACTCAAATTCACTAATGGAGTAAGGGAGGCTTTGAAGAGGAGCAGTGGCTAAGGCTCACAGAAAGAAGTACTGCTGTAGGTTTGGAGAGGAGAGGACACAAAGCTGCAAAAAAGCTATAAAAAGGGTAAAGAGAAAAACAGCCAGGCAACCTTCTGAATATCTCAGATAGACATACAAAACAAAACAAACACACACAATAGGAAGGAATTCTTCATATGAAACTATAGGTATGACATAATCAGTATGGAGAGCTGGTGAAACAAACCGTAGGATAAATATGCTGGTATAGAAAGATGGAGCTTGTTCCAGAAGGGCAGAAAGTGAGGAAAAAAAAGAAGTAGCTCTGCATCATATAACAAGAAGGTCTACATGACCTCTGAAGTTAAGGAAACAATGAGAAAATGCAGGTTGATTGAGAAGGAGCAAAGAGAAAGCATTGCATGACGCTCTTCCTGAACAACCTACAAGAGCTGATCCTGATATAACGGTAACTAACGGTTAGTAGGGGACATTACTCAGTCATCAGCTAGAAATTCAGTATGTATGGTAAACAATCTCACACAGTTGCGAGTAACTTGATTTCAGATACTGGAGGAAGCTATTAGAAGACTGGCTACTTTACATTTCATTTCTGACTAGGAGGAAGGAACTCAGTGAAATTAGATTAAGGCTTTAAAGATGGAAAATAATGCGTGAAAGTAACCACAAAAATCTGTCCTCTAAGAAAAGATTTTTTGGGGGAGGCAGACAGTATAGACTTTTATGCATGTATTGAAAAAACATCAACTTATTTCTTGCCACATGACCAGAAGTACATCCAACACAGACAAAATACCAGCATTTCCTGTACCATGATTCGTCTACATCCAGGAACATAATCAAAACGGCTGTATTTTGATCAGATAAGAAATATACATCAAGTGGGTACAACAGGATATGCATGCATCCACCATGTGACTACAGAGGCCCATTTCAGTTCATGCCATGTGTTACGAAGGTGCTGCAAAACTTTGGGATAGAAAGGGAAGTTCCATGAAGAAATGGGCTATCAATACAAATAAGCCATACTGTGGCGCACTTCCAATTTTTGTCTGAAAGATCCTCAGGAAAGGGGACATCACGGAGTAGAACATGATGAATTGTTGTGGTGAGCTGAATTTGGCCCACTAGCTAAAGTTCCTCACTGCCTGTTCTAAGAAAAGTAGAGTGTGAGGCACAGAATAAAACTAATGGACTTTAAAAAGACGACGTAAGCATGAGCAAAGGTAGACATGATTTTTGGGCAAATAATCTTAAGAAACCGAAGAGTTTGGGAAAGCTGGCAGTTACTGAAAGGGGCTATATTTAATGCAAATGGCAATTTAGAGGAGAGAGTGTGCAAGACTACTATAACTGCATCAGGAGCGCTTTAATGACCTGAAAAAACAACACACACAAAAAGTAAAAAAGGGCACATGGATGAGTAAAAGAGACCATGTTACCATGTAGGGATAAAATCAGAACAGTGAAGCCATGAAAACGAGTTACAACTAGTAAAGGACACAGAGGATAACAAACAAATGTTTTATCAATACACTAAAAGAAAGAAGAAGATAAGGTTCATTACTTAAGAGAAAAAAGGAACAAATTATAGGTGATACAAAAACAGACTGAAAGTATTAAACATCTTCTTTACTTCAGCCCTTAGCAGAAAGGTTAATTGTGACTAGACATTTAATGAAATTCATTTTACAGGGGGACAGGAGGTCAGGTCAGAGTAGAAAAATATAAGTTAAAGAGTAAAAGCTAAAGATAAGAAAGATTTTTAAGTCCGCAGGCACTTACGAAACGCACCCTGGATGCTTACAGAACGGACCGGAGCGATGTCTGAGAACTCAGGACAGGAGAGGCCGACTGGCGCGCATCTCTGAAGCGGGGAAGGCGCAGGGCTGAGGGAAGTAAAGGCCTGTTAGCCTTACTTCAGTCTCTGGAAAGATTCTACCACAAATTATTAAGCAATAGACTGGTAAATACTCAGATGGTAAGCAGATGATAAGCAGCTAGTATGGGTTGCTCAGGAACAGAATGCAATAAAACCAGCCTTCTTTGATGAAATAAGTGGCTTATGGGGTACACGAAACAGTAGGCGTGATATACATTTGACGTTTGTAAAGCTTTTGACGGCACCCTTAGACAAGCTAAGGGAACACTGTCCAGCCGCATCACCCAGGAGGAGACACAATGGCGAAAACTTGCCCTGAGAAGAACGATTACTGCAGGAGAAGAACTAAAAAACAGAAAGCCCGGTAGTCCCTGAACATGTACTTAATTTAAACATCGCTTCCGATGGCTACGCCCCTGCGTTTAAAGGCTCCTTACCGATACCTGGGGCTGCACAAAACCCCGTTCCCGGAGCGCCTCGGCCCGGCCCCGCCGCCGCCGCCCG